TTCCCTGGCTCATTCCATCTTCTCCAACTACCCCCTCCTATCATAGTACAGCCCCATGAACTGCAGAGAAATGAAGCACTACAATGGAAAAAAACAAAACAAAACTCAGAAACGGTTTATTTTCTCTTTAGCTTCAGATAACGTGTGTATGTCCACTTACAGCCACTGGAGGGCAGAGTGGTACTGTCTAATCCGCTGGAAGCGAGATGCCATGCTGCTGAATCCGCACTAGAGTGCGCATTACTGTTGCACACAAGTCGTGCAACTGTACATACTCAAGGTGTAGTCTATATGTTTTAAGCTTCCATCAATGCCGTGCAACTGTACCTTCTTGTCATTGTCATCATCCTCATCATCCTGCACGCTGATGGTGGACCGGATGGGGTCAGAAAAGATGGGACCCTGAGAGTAGTACTGGGAGCTCCGGAAACCATCTTTCCTCAACTTGTCACATTCTGGAGGACAGACAAAGACAGAGACGTATATTACAGAGAGATTTTGATAGCTAACATCTCTGTCTCAAATGCCATTTCTTCAAGTTTTCTTGTTGAGAGCATGGAAACAGACACTTTCATGACAGACTTTCCATTTAATCTTCAACAAACACTGATCTTCAGGAATGTATTATGCATATTGCACACACAGGCTTATTTGTGTGTATGTATTTTTCAGAATAAACCAGCTAATAACACCACTGTAATAATGTGTAAACCAACTGTAAGACATAGCTGTGTAACACGCATTAACTCTACCCAGCGCACAGTACCATTGGTTTTGTGTGTGTGTGCGCTTTGCATCAGTCATGTGAGTGTGGTCCCTGCTGGATGCTGCCAAGCACTGCTCACGCCTCCTCTCGTCGCCACCTGTCGTGATGTATGCGAACGTGGATGTGTGATGAGAAGGGAGTTTGCAAATGACTGTGTGTGCACGTCTCTTTCTATGGTTGTGTGAAAGAACTGTGTTTTGATACCATTGCTGTGAGGTAATTTTAGCCAGTCCTCACACCTTCTAAAGGTTGTTTGAGAGTTAAGACTTGGTTTTAAGACTATAGTTAGAATTACATTTAGGATAAAGTTAGGAATTTAGCTGTGATGGTTAAATGTTATGGGGCTAGGAAATGCATGATGTCCACTGATGTCCACGTGTGTCCTCACAAAGACAGAAATGCATAACGTGTGTCTGTAACCAGAGGAGAGGGGTATCTGTTTCAGTCTGTCACACACAGATGGCAGAACTGTCCCTCTCTCTCCTCCACCCCCATTTGTCTCAGGGGGCATTGAGCACATCATCTCTCTCTGCTAATATATCTAATCATACACAGTCTAGTTCTTTAATAGCTAATTATATTTAAACAATACTATTTCTAAAGCCTCAACTGAAACACGCAGTAGAGAATTCTCTGTACTTTTACTCCTGCCTGGATCCTGCAGGATAACGAAATTTAACAAACTGCTAAATTACACCTGCCTATTTAAATAAAGCAGATGCTTAATGCTGAAAAGGTCTAAACAAGACCTTCTCACCTACACTGGTTGCATTAACTACCCCAACCTTTTATTCTATGTCTTGGGTATATATTCACTATAAGGTGCACAATCAAATTCCCTTTGGATGACTTACACATGTACCAAAACACATGCACATCACAATTAGCCTGGCACCTCAAAGATGTTGCTTTTATTTCCTCTATGTGCCATCTATCTCCGTAGCTAATTGCAGCCCATCTCTCCTGAGAGACACACCGGTGCATGTATGATACAGTTAGTTAATGGATCCTAATCCTGGCAAACATAGCTACTGTAGTAACACAGTGATATGGCAGTGGTGTAGAAGAAGGGATTTAGAAAGCATCATGATAATGAGGATGATGATGGGGAGTGGAGCTGTTAAATGATTGTTGCTGCGTGAACTGGGACAGTTGATAAAATAAATAGGTCCTGGATAGAGTGTTGCCAGGCGGAACTGAAGGGAGGGGAATGGTAAGTGACACTAGAGAAGGCAAGCAGAAAGAATGATGGACACTGTGGACAAATTACAGAACAACACCTTGTACAGTAGCATATATATCAAATTTGCTAATACTAATTGACTTATGTGGCTTAGAGCCTATTTTGGGCTCAAAAAACATACATAGTCATAGATATATACAGTGTAATATGTAGAAAACAACACATATCTGGAGCCTGAGTAAACTGTAATAACCAAAAACTACTTTAAATATAATTTGGTTTATGTTATGAAGACGTTTAGTGATAAGATTATAGCGAGTAATGTTTTCTCTGTCTGACCTTGAAGCTTAGTTGAGGTGTAGTATTCAAATATTTATTATTCCTACACAACACCGATTAACACTGAATGATATCATTGATTATGCTGTAGCATTTCTTGGGTTCATATTGACAACAACCACGCGACTGTTACGCAACTCCCCTGATGTATTTCCACAAGTTTTTTTTTTTTTTTTAACTCACAAGGCACTGAACACAAACTGAAACTCTTGTGACTGTGTGAGAGGGACAAACAGAGGCTACACGTTGCCATCTGACTGGTTATTGATTATCCTGCTTTGCAGAGGAGCAAACCTGTGTATCTTGCTCTGGTCATGTTGTGACTGGCTACATGTGCATGAGAGCAGGGGCTGCACATTGTTTAATCTCCTGATATGAGTTATAACATACAGGGCAAATATTATTATGTAAATTGTGAAAGTTCAATTGCTATAAATGTAGCTGTGAAACTATTATTACTGCAAAAGGACAAAGTGTATTTGCTGTAGCTAGGTATGTAACTTCCACCTTCATCTTACTGCGACTCGAGACTTAAATGAAGTGCACAGGTGCTCCCATTGAAAACCTGCTGGCTTGCAGTTAGGACCCCTGGGGCTGAGTGATGATGACAGGATGGTGACAGGATGAAGGGCAAGCCGCGTAAATCCCACCTCCCAGGTGGTGTTTGTGCACGTAGCAACATTAATATTGCAGGAAGTAATATGCAACAGCAACAGCACAGTAGTCAAACCATGGAAAGACAAAGAAACGTTCGTGTGTGTGTGTGTGTGTGTGTGTGTGTGTGTGGTAAAGCGGGTGACTCAACATCGCAAGCATCAGATTACCTCCTCTCCATTCATCTCTTTATCTCAGTGTCTTTTGTATCTGCTGACACATAAGGCCACCCTAGCATGTACACACCAAGCCTTTACAGTAATACACATACGCCCATATAAACACTTCTCTCACACTCGCCTCTCAAACTGCTATCTGGTTTGTAGAGAAACACAACTTTCCCAGGAAGTCCAAGTGAAACTTGTAGCAGCATTTACTGGTTTTCATATTCAAGTACTTTCCAAAGTTGTCACTCTGTTGTGACTTGACTCAGTCTGATTGTTTGACCAAGGTGTGTCCTTTCTCTACTGGACAAACAGGGAGATGAGGATCTCACACTGTTATGTTGTTGACTTAACACTAATTACATGAAGGGATCTTAATGCCTGGGACTTTGCAATGACAAACGAGATGACATCCAGCATCAGTCCCACTAGTGGGATTTGTATGTTTATTTATTGCAATTAGCTGCAGGTATCACCTATAAATGCTGAACATTTTTTAAACTGAAATGTTTAAATTAGGGTGGAAACAATTAGTTGAAAATTGACATTCGACAGGTTTGGCAATGTATTTAGTGCCATTGTCATTTTCCAAATAAAATATCTACAAATTCTCTGGTTCCAGCTTCTCAAATAAAAGATTTTTAGGTTTTATTTGACATTTGTTCATATCAAAGTTCTTTCTTTGAAATGAGACTGGACAGTTTTGCTATTTTCTGGTATTTTATTAACCAAACAATCAGCCAATGGAGACAATAATCAGCAGATTCATCAATAATGAACATAATTGTTAGCTGTATGTTTTATATTTATTAATGTAAATGTATTCACTTGGCAGATGCTTTTGTCCAAAGTGACACAAATGAGGTGAAATCCAAGTCACAGCAGATCAAGGAGAAGGAGAAGCTTTCGTTTTGATCATGTATATGTTTCATGTTCATTTTGAAATGTGTAATATCTGAACCATTGTTTCAATGCAGTTCAAATTCAGTATCTATCTAACTGTTACTTTACAGATTCATAGATTTGGCCTGTGAAGTAGTCAAAATGCCCACACAGCTGGTGATTTCTCTAGATCTAGAATGACGGCTATAAAATTAAGGTTAACATTAGCTCCCAAAAACCTCCAAATGATTCTTCTAACCCTGATGTTGTCCATGGTCGTGTTGTTGTAATTTCTTGCTACTAGTCCATTGTAATTGATCTTTACCTCGCAGAGCGGTCTTGAGGTTGACTTTGGCCTGGCGATGGAGGTCTTCCACACATGGCGGCCTGTTGCCTGGTAAGAAGACGTTCTCCTGCCGGTGCCACGGAGCTGTGTAATGAACCGTCCACTTGCTCTCCTCATCCAAGTTAGACACCGCTGCAGAGACACACAGAGCAGGTTAAGGAAACTAGCTCGTGTTTTCTTTCAAATGTTATTGGCCATAGTGAATTTCCTGAAGGATAGTTCACCACATCATTCACCTGCACCGGCACAGTATTGTTGTCAGACATAAAAAACAAAGAAACTCCTGACCACAGTTGCTAAATAAATAAATAATTATAGCAAGAAACAGTTTTATGAATTTGTTGCATTTACAAGTAGCTCTGACTAAAGGGTTTGTTTATATTTGTAGGAAGAGAGGAAGGGGAAGAAGAACAAGGCGCTTTGCATCGAGGTGCCAGTCTCCACACCAACAACATGACACCTATCTGAGACATCATGCAGTTAACAGGTCACACACCTCAGAGGGGGAGGGATAAACTTTAGTGCAACACGTTGTAGGGAACCACTCGGTATAAAGCTCAGACCTACTTAAAATGAGCCTTTCAGGAAACAATAAAGTGTTGTGTCAACACTGCCAAGAAGCAAATCTGTCAGTCCATGTATTTTATCTACACTACATTTCTAAATTGCAATCATTTGACAATTTTAACAAATCAACCTCAGATAACACAACATGGCATTAGTGTGTTGATCGCTTGCTACTGGTGACTTAATGCTGATGATCTGAGAACTTAATTATGTTGTCTCTGTTAATCTCGCTGTACACGCAACCCAAAAGTTAGGCTTACCAAGTGAGCGTAGCCAAGCCAAAGTCGGTGATCGTGGATGTAGTATTATCTCCATTTAGAACAGGCAAATGTTAGTCGAGACTATAATCTCTGTGTCCCAGCCCTGAAAAAAACTGCGTCTTATCTGACTGATGAAAGAAGTCTGAAGGAACCAGGAGGAAGGGGGCGGTCATGGAAAGGGGCTGGGAGCATGTTTAGTGTTTTGGTTTGAGGGATTTTCACAGGTGCTAATGAAATGTAGTAGGATGCAAAGCAAGTGTGTGTGTGTGTGTGTGTGTGTGTTGGGGGAGGGATCCAAAGTAGAGGTATTAGATGGGGGCAAAGACTGCAAACTGGTCGTTAGAGAAAGTGTGAAAGACAGTTGTGACCAACTCTTCTGTGACTAGTCCAACTTTACTTACATGTGGCTATAAGAGGTCTACAACCCAATGAGTACAGCTCAGGTGAACATAGTTTTATAGACAGATTTATCGGAGAACATCCAGTGCACTAAGTTCTGCTGCTGCTGGTGACTAATAGTACTTATAGCTTGTTAAGCTACTAACTGTTCCTCCAGCAGAGGGGACGGGTCATTGTTTTTATTCACGTCCCTGCTACCAAACACCTCCCCCCCCCCCCCCCCCTTCCCCTCGCTATCTTTTTCACTTTAAATGTTTAAACCTACATGTTTGTTGTAGCTCGGTACAAGTGCAAATACCACACAGGCACAGCAAGCCTGAGATGGAACACATGGGGCGATACAAGCAGCAGAACTAAAATAAACTGGAAAAAATGCAAGACATGTAGATACTGTGTTTATTTTGAATTAATCTTGAGCAATCTTACCCATCTGGTCCAAGTAAATGTTAAAACTACAAAAAGAGAGGCAGTCACAGAGAGCCACAACACATAGGCAAAACTCACCTGACCACAATGTGGACCGTACATCTGCACAAGACCAATACAGAACCACAGAACCCACTTTCACACAGTTCTGCTGTAGCAGTAATTGTGAGGTTAGTAGCAAAATAACTGACTACTTATCCTGGAGCAAGGCACTCCCACCCCGGTGAGTAATACTAGGAGAATAAGCTTGCCTGGCTAAATAATAACAATAAATACTCTTCTTTAAGGACAATTCGCTGCCTCGTACACTCTCAGCACAGGTAACCCTCCCCCACCCTCCATTTCTGACTACAGAGTTTAAACAGACCTCAGTCAGGCTATAGGCAGACCAAAGACATGGGGAAGAGGACACAAAGCCTGTATTGTCCCTGGCATCAGTCTCCACATCAGGCCTTTCAGTGCCACAATAACCCCTAGCCCCTCATCACAAACAGAGTCTCACACACACACACACACACTGGACCCTGGCGTGAATGTCTTTCAAAAGCCCACTAATCCTCTGATGTCCCAGCTCTCCCTACACCCATTAACAAACGCAGACACACAGGGTACTGAAAACTCTGAAATGCACACACAGGCTACAAGAAGCATTAGAATTAAAAATGCAAAGACTGTATACAGTAATCTCTGGAAAAAGCATCAGCATGCACGCGCACACACACACACACACAAGATATTAGCTGTCAGGATCAATAACAGTGATCCAACTATCCTGAACCAGGCTCATGGTCACTTACTTGCTAACTGGGTATTGATTTTCAAGTGTAATACAACATTGGCGGTTTGATAAAGGTCAGCACAGCCTTGGTTCAAGTTAGTTTTGAGATTTAACAAGTTTTTTCTTCAGTAGCTTCTACATCCTCGTGCACAATACAAGTACCAAGCTGCAGCAGAGGGTCAAGGTGCTTATCTAAGGAGCAAAGTGCAGGCGTGTGTAAGATGGCAACAACAACATTGAGCTAAAAATTAATACTACTACATCGGTGTGGACTTCAACACACACAGGCTATGAATACACCTGAGATTAAAATTGGCACAAATATCTCGCCCTGATCTTTGTTAGATATTGTCATGTGATTAATACACAGCCACTGGATCTTTGGAGAATTAAATAATCCTTGTAATCTACTGTACACATATGGCACACACACCTAGTTCAGTTTCCTTTAACATTAAGCTCACATTTATATCTAAAAGAAACAAAACTTCAAAATTGAGGAAAGGAAAAACGCCAACTATTTCTAATGAGATTTCAATTTCTTCCACCTTTACATATACCTTTGGGTCATTTAGTGCTAATGGCTGTCGGCTCTATGAAGTCCTGACCCAGTGGTCACCTGGTACCAGGGTGCAACAGAGAGCTGTGACTGGGCTCAGCAGTACACCTACAGAAAACCAGTGCTTACAATCAAACTATATCCAAATCATCAAAGCTGGTACAGATGCACTTTCGACAGAGAAGATGGTTGTTCAAAATAGCTGGCACACATGGAAAGCTGTAGAAAAAGACGGACACTCACAGCCTAATAAAAGTCCTGTCAGAATAAGGCAAAACGAGACCGAACCTCTCTTCCAGTGTATAGTCTAACTACCTCGTGTTCTGGTTTTAATGTAGACAATAAGTTCAGATTACTCAAAACATATATTAACAATCAGTATTGAGCTTAAGTAAAATATCTTACCCTTCCTTTTGAAATATTTAATGACAGATTTTAATGAGGTCCCAATAAACACCATGATTCCGGTGGAGTCTATGTGGCTCTCACTTAAAAAAGTAAGTGCCCTAATAAGGCACCAAAAAAGACAAATCCAGGGAGTAAGAGAGAGAAGACGGGTCAAAGGAGTGCTGCCGCCAGCTCTCATCCATTCACATTTCTTATTACGGGGCAGCTTGGCTCAGAGTGTGTGTGTGAGCGTCTACTATGCTTATAGGAGAGCCTCTCTCTCTCTCTCTAAACACACACGGACCACCACTCCCACTATCATCCCCACCATCCCCACCACTCCTCCCTCAGGCAGTCCTGTCCTTGGAGACACACACATACACACAGCGGGAGGGGTGTAGGACCGGCCCTTCTGTGCCTCTGTGCTTTGGTTACCAAGGAGTTCTGGCTGCCTCTCCCTTCAATTCTCATCATCGGTCCCTCTCTCTCTCTCTCTCTCTCTCTCTACACTCTCTTCCTTCTCACAATATAGCTGAAAGTTAATCATGCTTTATTAGAACATGCAGGCACACTCATGCTATTCTGCTATGAATTCATTCATTCCATCAATCTCTTATCCTTTCTCCTTCCTTATTTTCTAACCTGCTCTGCTCTTGGAAAAGTAATCACTGTGTTGCCTTTTCACTGTATCGACAGATTCATCTGTGGAATATTTACGCATCCAACTAAACTATCAGCCAGCTCTACAGGAGACCCTTGTACATACATCCATGATTAAAAAAAGAAGCTTCTCATAAGGTATTCAGTGTAACAGGAAACATCATCACACAATACATGAACACTAATGCTTTGTGTTGTTTGATCCCGTTCTGCACCAATTTATGGTTTGTAAAAAAAAAAAAGTAAAGGAAAATCATTACTGAAGATGCCTTTGCAGATCTAAGATGTCAAAAACCTGAAAAAATAGGCTATAAATATCTCCTTTTCCTTTCTCTGGATGTTTTCACTCTTCCTCTGTCTGATCGTATGCAGCCTGGGGTGTGCACACATGGCCACTGAATCTGTGCCACATGAATATAGATCACATACAATCCTCCCATTGTCCAATTTGCTCACAATCTATCACACACATACACACACACACTCCAGCACCCACCAATTCAAATACATGTCAACATGTGCGTGCACACACACACACACACCCATAAGTGCTGGGCAGCCCCTCCTTTTGCAGCCGTATTTCTTTTCAGCCCAAATGGTTGAAGAGCGGACAGAGGGGGTGAGTAGAAGGGAGGGAGGCAGGCAGGCAGACGGGCTGGAACAGGAGCCTAAGTGGGAGTGCAAATGATCCTTGAATGTGTGGGTACAAAGGACCCCCCTTCACTTCCTCCAACCTAGAAAAAGATCCCCCCTCGCTTATCTAGATTTTGTGGTCTGTGTCTAAAGTTTGGATTTGTCTGTGAACATATCATTTAGTAACATTCATTGTTTCTGCACTACTGTACGCTATGAAGTGTCCATTTGCAGTATTATTTAGACGCTCTTGTCCTTGAGTTATGGAGCCCTGAACGCAGGAAATATGGCTCTTTAGGTGTCATATTCTTGCAGAGAGTTCACCCTTGGAGGGAAGGGTCACTACAAATTGTTGTTCTGGGTGATTACCTTTATCCTGTGAAGAAACATTTCTATCCCCACTGGAGTGGTCTCTTCCAGGATGTCAATGCCCCCAAGACACGGAGGCCCGCTGAATAGTTTG